AGCACCCACAGTCAAATCTCTTTCCGTCCCCACTTATTTCCCCTTTCCCCTCGTCCACCACCAGCAGCATGTTCTTAAGCATGTGCTTCAGAATGTTTCTGAAGAAAAACGATGATTTTGTTGGAAGAAGATGGCACTCGTTATTTCCACAGGTAAAAATGCAAAGAAAAATTTAATGGGCCAAACAATTCTAAGGTTAAAAAAATTAGTATGCCCTTGGTAACAAAATGTTTTCCTAGGCCAGGGCAGCAGAACAACCTGTCATGATCCTTCTCAAGCTGGAGCTTCATGTGTCTGTGTTAGCTGCCCGAGGCTAAAGCCTTCAAGGCCTTCATAAGTCAAGCTTGTTCCTTCTCTTTGTACAGCTCTTCCAACTGCCATGTGATCTTTTCTTTTGTCTGCAGATTCGTTATGAATGTTCAGCTCACTGTGGTATGGAACCAGTGAAACCGTAAGTGGAAGAGAAGTATTTAAGGCTCAGCAAATGCATAGGCTTGTATCTTTCATATCTAAGGAGGACAATTTTAAAAAATAGATTCGATGAACCATCGTGTGCTTTTTTAGATGATGTGTCATTCGACACTCATGCTAACAACATAGAGCCAAGAGTATCATTTAAATATTACAGTCCTCATATGTGTCCAGTGAATCTGTTCCATTTCTAATTTTTCAACAGAGTTTTCTTGGCTTCAGTGGGATATTTTTTCTCACCCTGATCACAGTGTTTATAGATATCTCATAAAGCCCCCAATGTTACTGTTGTTCTGCACATCCCCTGCTTTGTGAACGACAAGCTTTAATGAATTGGGAATATATGTGCACATGGCATTTACTTAAAAAGGGAAAAATCTTTTTAAACAGCTATACCTACACAAATTCAATTTCATTTACTTTGGAGGAAATGAGAAACTTGAATTGTAAGTGTGGAGCCCTACAATCTTTCAGGCTGATAAAAGCAAGGTTTGGGGGATGGGTGGAACCATACAGAATTGCTTTAGCCAAAATTATTTTTGTGCACATTTCCAAACTCAGGATCATGTTTTGATAAGAAAAATCCCTTTCTCCACAAGTTCTCAGGTCCCACTCATTGGCCCCTCACCCCCAATTCTGGAACCTCTGTCAGGCTGTTATGTGGCTCTCAGTTCTTGGTGATATGTTTTCAATTTGAGTCAACTTGATGAGAGAAAAATTACTAAAAAGTGGGAATGAGCTGTGAGGTGAATAGGGTTTTCCTATCAAAGTGGAGGTATTTTTAAAAGCATTTATTATTTCAAACTAAAACATTTATAGAAAGCCATGAGTGTGAAGTGTATGGTTACCAGTTGTGGCTTGCCGTATTGAAAAATTCAAGTTCATAGGAACTATTTACTGAGGCACTGGCTAGCAAGTAGTTTGTACATGGGAATAATTTGGCTCAGAAAGCATGTCAGTTTAAAACAATAGTTTACTAACATAGTAGTAATGGGCAATTAGGATTCATAAATGTTGCCATGATTGAAACATAATTTGGGGTCTTCAATGAAAATAGTTCTGTTATTAACAGAATAGGGCGTACATGCCATATGTCTATGTCTTACACATGACATGAATGTCAGAAGTGAGAAAAATCATCCCTTCATTTTTAATGTTTTATAGGTTGTGATGTAATATAATTTTTTTCTGTGTTGAAAATGATGAATATCATTTTTGGCACATTTGTTTTACAGTAAAGAAGTATTTAGCTTACAAGTGAAAAAAGTCTGGCTTTGACTATGGATTAAAGAAATGTTGTATAGCTAAGTTTACTTTTTTAGTAAAGGTCAGTTTTGCATGGCATTCTCTGGAAATTTGTTTGGAACATCTAAAATTCTTCTGTCATATGAATTCTGGAGATCTGAGGGAAATATATTTAATCACATTGGGTGAGAACTTTCCTCTTTGTGTGAGTCCTTAGTAAGCTCACAGTGTTTTTTAACACTCAATCATATGTCACAGAGTTCATTTCACAACAATACATATGGTATATTATTAAAAAAAGCAGGCTGCAAATAGCATTTATGGTATATGAATTGTATGTGTGTGCACATGTGTAAAAAAAAGATGCCTTGATGGTTGTTAATAGTTAGCTCTGGGTGGTGGGTTTTGGGTTATTATTTTTTTGTATAGTTTTTTAGAGTGCTTGATTTTCTTTTGTCATACATAAAATGTTATACATTTTAAAGAGGACACATATGCAGTTTCAAGGATAATAATGAATACCCACTGTCTGGCTAAAAAAATAGAACATTACTTCATCTGAGAAGCCAAGCCTTCCTTCTGCCCCTGCCCCTTTCATGAATGTAATTACTTGCCTGAATTTTGTGCTAAACATTTCTTTGCTTTTCTATATGGCTTAGCTACCTATGAATGTATCTGTAAGCCATATATGGTTTTACTTTGATTGTTTTGAGCTTTAAATAAATGGAATCATAGTGGATATATTCTTCTGTGACTTTTTTGAGATGTCCGCATGTTGATGTGTGCAATTAATTTTTTTTTTTTGTGAGGGGATAATAGCCCTTCAGCACAAAAAGAATCAATGAACTTATACTTATTTTGATTAAAGACTTAAATGTTAGACTCAAAACCATAAAAATTCTAGAAGAAAAGCATAGGCAGTAAAATCTTGAACATTTCTCATAGCAATATTTTTTTTTGTTATATCATCTTGGGCAAGGGAAGCCAAGGGGGTAAAAAACAAATGGGACTGCAGCAAATTAAAAAGTTTTTTCCATAGCAAAGGAAATCAACGACAAAATCAAAAGATAACCCACTGAGCGGGAGAACATATTTACCAATGATACATCTGATAAGGAATTAATACCCAAAATTTATTTAAAAAACTTATAAAACTTAAGCTGAGAAAACAAGCAATCAAATTAAAAAAAATGAGCAAATGACCTGAATAGACAATTCTCCAAAGAAGACAAACAGATGGCCAATTGACATATGAAAAGATGTTCAATGCCATTAATCACTAGAGAGATGTAAATTAAAATCACAATGAGATATCACCTCATACCTGTCCGAATAGCTACCATCAATAAGTCAACAAACAGCAAGTGCTGGTCAGAATGTGGAGAAAAAGGAACCCTGGCGCACTGTTGGTGGAAATGCAGACTGGTGCAGCCACTGTGGGAAACCGCATGGAGCTACCTCAAAAAATTAAAAATAGATCTGCCTTATGACCCAGAGATTCTGCTTCTGGCATTAAGTCCAAAGAAACCCAAAACACTTACTCGAAAGAATATATGCACCTGTGTTCATTGCAGCATTGTACACAATAGCTAAGATTTGGAATCGGACTGAGTGCCCATCAGTAGGTGGGTAGATAAAAATAGCTCTAGTACATTTACACAATGGAATACTATGTGGCTGTAAAAAAAGAAGGAACTCTTACTTTTTGTGACAGCATGGGTGGACTGGGATAGCATTATGCTAAGTGAAATGAGCCAGTCAGAGAAAGACAAGTACCATGTGATTTCACTCCTATGTGGAATCTAATGAACAAAATAAAGTAACAAACAAAATAAAAGCAGACTCATACAAAGAACAGACTGACAGCTGTCAGAGGGGAAGAGGGTTGGGGGCATTAGGTGAAAAAGGTGAAGGAATTAAGTAAAGAAAAAAAAAACAACTTCAGACCCAAACAACAGTATGGTGATTACCAGAGGGTGGAGGAGGTAACGGAGGGTAAAGGGGGATGAAAGGTGATGGCAGGAGACTTGATTTGGGGTGGTGAACACACAATACAATATACAGATGAGGTTATTATAGAATTATATACCTAAAACCTACATGATTTAATTAACCAATAAATCACCCCAAGAAATTTAAGAAAAATTAAAGAAAACCTCATATTTACATTTAAAAGTATATATGCAGGAGGAGTGCTGAAATAACCATGCTTTCATGAATTGAAAAAGTTTTTCCCATCCTGATATGCTCACACGTAGATCACGTCAACAGCTGCCTAGAGAAGGTGGTTTGAGGGCTCAGCGGCTGCACACCATGGCAGAGAAATGCCTTGCTTTCCTGCCTCTGCTGGGCAGCCTCCGTGCCTGAAGTTCAACCATTCAGGGAAGTTCCTTCCTTGGGGCTTCAGGAACTCTCTCTCAAAAGGAAAACTGCGTCGTTTACCATGGAACGTGAATTAGTTTTGCCAGTGATCGGCTTTAGTGCTTGGAAAGCAATGAATGTGTTTTGAGGGACAGAGGAAAGGGATAGTTCTAGACCTTGAGAGGGTTAAGAACAGGCTTCCGAGGGATGTTTAAATAAAGGGCTCTGGGCATCCCAAAGGCAGTTGAGGACAGAGTGAGGAGGCAATGCCAGGTAAGCGAGAGACAGAGGAAGGAGGTGAGAAGGCAACATTTTATCCCTTTTATAATGTTGCCCATATGTAGTGACAAGTACTTTTTGAGTACCTAGCGTATGCGTATCGGCGCCATGCTAGGCATTCTCAATTCAAAATATGTGTAAGACCCAGTCCCTGTTTTTAAAGAACTCCCAGCCTAACGGAAAAATCAGCTACACGGACGATCTTTGCACCGTGTCTCAGGGGGCTACTAGGAGAGCACAAAAGAACAGTGACTGACCGCCTGCGGGTCTTCGATCAGGGGCCCCGCTGTATGGGTTCGCGGGGGAAGGACGAGTCTGGTGAACATGGAAGGGAGGCCATGCCCACTCAGGGGAAGGACGCTTGTAGAGGCAAGGGGGTGTGAGCGCACAGCCCCCAGGAACTGCTAACACATATGGCTGGGGTGCGGAGTCCATCCTGTACCGGCAAAGGGATGGTTCTGAAGTCTGACCGAGTCATCATCCTATTTGAATTCATTCTATGTCTTTCCAGTACGAAACCCTGTATGGCACATAATACCATTTGCATTTAGCCTCACTCCACCTTGCCTGCCATGGTTACGACATTACTTTCCTCAAATGACTCTCTGAATCACAGTTTCCTCATCTATAAAAATAGAGAATTTGTGGTCACTTTGGCAGCACATATACTAAAACTGGAATGATACAAAGAAGACTAGTGTGGCCCCTATGCAAGAGTGACATGCAAATTCTTGAGATGTTCTATATTTCTATTAAGAAGTACAGATACAAATTGACACTGATATTTTGTACAGAAGTACAAAATAGTCACGGGGATGTAAAGTACAGCGGGGGAATATAGTCTGTAATATTGTGATATTATGCATGCTCTGGGTGGGTACAGGAAATATCAGGGTGGGGGAACATTTTGTTAAGTATTTGATTGTCTAACCTCTATGCTGTACACCTGAAACCAATACAAAAAAATATTGAAAGTAAACTTTAATTAAAAATGAAAATAGAGAACTGTATCACCTAAACTCAACTCCCTGAGTTTTCAACAGATATAGCCTGATGACAATCATTAAAGCTTGCTATCTGGTGAACGACTATTTCATTTCAGAAAGAGAACATTTCTCTTCATTCCTACAGTTGAATTCCTACGTTTCAGAAAGAGAACATTTCTCTTCATTCCTCCAGGAACATGCAGGTTCTCGTGAATGTGGATGACCTCTCTATGAAGGCCCAAATGTAGGAGTCTATGGGAACACCAATTAATCACTTGTCATATATTTCAGCACCTACTGTGAGCAAGACACTATATGACCATTATGTCATGTCATGAGTCTATTGGAAAAGAGTTAGCCTTGCTTGTATAGTACACCTATAACATATACTTTTGTTTATATTTATCTTAAATTTTATAACTCTATCATAAGTGTTTCAAAACCATCTATTTAAAGGCCATGTACATATGGTTTTATTGTACTTTGCTGATTCTTCTTCTGTTTGGGTAAAGCATAAATGTAGTATGAGAATTATGTCTTTCCAAAGCAAACTGATATATCATAATAAAAATGTTGAAGTTGGGAACCATAGACCATAAACAAGAAATCATCAAATTGTAAGAAACAAATAGATCTGTTATCTGAAAATAAATAGGACTTGCTGAGCAACTCAATTAAATTTGATTTAGCAAATAATTACTAGCACCTCTATTAGGCATTGTAGAGTTCACCACACTTTCCATGACACGACCTCTCCGCCCTTGCAGCCTTGAGTGTAGCATGACTCTGTGTATTCTATTGAAGAATCAGAGGATGGAACTTTCCATCCCTCTGTCCCTACACCATCTTGTAATTTGACTCTGCTTTGTAGAGAGTCCATACAAATCACATCAGCCCTGTAATTAACCCAGAACGGGCAGCGAGGACGTAATGTAGGGAGGAGCATGGGCAGATTGAACTACAGATGTTAGTCTATACTTCATTCTGGAAACTGGTAGTCTGCCAACTTTTCTCCTTGTACACCCAAACCTGATGTCATCAATCTAGAATTTCTGATGCTCCTGAGAAAATTCCTATGAGATTTTGCACGTGGCTCTCATACCCTATTCTCCTTGTTATTCTTAACGCTTCTCAGGTCCCTCACTAATGGAAGACTGCCAACTTGGTGCCAGATTTGACCGATCCCAACAATCTGTCTGGTCCTGAAGTCTGGCTCTTAACCTCTGCAGTGTACTACTACTTTAGACAGGTATAATCTTCGCTTGTCTATTATGGGAAAATATTTAAATGGAGCCTCTCTTTTCGTCTGTTTTCAAGTCTTGACACTGTGGTGAAAAACTGCTGTTTCTTCTCTGCTGGTAGGTCCTACACCCTTCCTCCCTACACGCCTGACATTTGCATACTTAGTTGGCTTTTAGAGAAGATCCTTAGAAGTAAAATTAAAAACCATGTTTTCAAAGCATTACGGTCATCCTCTTATTTATCCTTTTCCTAGGTTCTTAAATATGATGTTGTAAATCTCACATATCACCCATGCCTCAAAAGGTGCTTTCTCATTAGAAAAAGAAAAACATATAAATTCCAATGTTGTTCCAGACAGCTGTACTATGTTGAGATGACTTCAGTATGGAAGGTGTTCATTCTACTGGACACTTCTGGAAACAAATATTTTAGCTTGATTTATGGTGCTGAAATAATTATTGTTATTTTACGGATCCCAGATACTTCCATTGGAAGAACAACATTTGGAAAGCATCTCCCAATTGTCCAGGCACCTTTCCCTGTCCTGAATTATTTCAATTTAATTAAACCAGGTGGTACTTTGTGTCAACAAATTTCAGATAATGCTTGTAAATGGACTTGGAGGTGAAAAGTACAATTTAGCAGGACATGTTACTGATACGGTGCCATCTGCCCGTATATGTGAAGTAATCTACAAGCATATTCTTTGTATAGTTTTATGTAGAGCCAATCATTATGGTATCTAGGCATAATCTGGATAGCACCTTTTCTCTTCATAATCATGTGACTCTTTGGGACTTTGGAGGAAGAACCTAAATTGTTTCATACTGACTTCCTTTTTCCCCTTTCTCAGCTCCTAGATTTGTGTACTGAATGAACAGAAAGTTATTATGCAGTATCTAGAAATTGAAGAGTGTGGTCACATTGCCTGCTCAATGCCCACCTGACTGGAATTTCCACTTCTGCCTTTGAAAGGATATGGAGGAAAGGTGAAATTTGGGGCATGCAGTTGATAGATTCAGCAAAGCTTACTTGTTTAAATAATCGACAAACTATTATTGGCCAACTAATAGTCTCCCTCATTCCAGAAAAGATTTGAAAAGATACACATGACATTCACACATAATTTAAAATAAGATTAAAAGTATGCATAAATAGAAAGTTAAGACTGGGGGAATGTAATGTAAAGGTCAAAGCTGGAGAGAATTAGAATATAACCATACAGACCAATGTGAGTAAAGCCAAATTCAGTTTGGTTCTGAACCTCTTGCAACAGACAAATGTGGAAAGTGAAACAAATGTAACTGGTAAAGTATAAATTTAATTGACTGAAAAGAAAGTAGGCAAACATTTCAGTGCTTCCTCCTGAACCCCGTGATTCTGAGTATTAAAAGTCACACTGGGTCAGATACAGAGCTTTTGTAAGTCCATCTTGATTCTTCTCTTCCACAGATAAGTAAGTGTAATAGTCTATGACCTTAAATGGCACATGGGAAAACAATTTCTCTCATAATAAAGCCAATTTAAATCTGGGCTATAAATGAACTCACTTGGCAAAATTTGGCTGATTCATTCTTAGTTGATAAGGACCAACTCCAGTGATGCTGTTGAGAACTACGTGGAAATACTCATCTCTTTCTCTATTTCCCCCTGCATATTCCTGTTGTTAGGTCTTTACTCAGTCTGTGACTTTTGCTTCAAATGAGAGAGGGAAGCCCCCCAGAACAGAATTTATTTATAAAAAATTTTCTATTTATTCTTATATCTTTAAACTTCAGTCACCTTTGAGGTATACTCTCCATTTGAGAAAATACACTTATTGAGATGTTTTTTCCACTGATCAAAACAGTTTTTGAACTCATTGAGTTTGATGCCTTTAAGTGCTTCTGACTTTTTTGTTTCACCTCTTCCACATTTGCAAAAAATTTCCTTTTGAGGACTTTTTTTCATCTGGGGAAACAAAAACTGGACACTTGGGGTGAGAGAGGATGAATAAGGAGAGTGGGCCATGGGGGTCATGCTGTTTTGGGTCAAAAACTGCTAAACATTCAGCTTGGTGTGGGCAGGTGCACACATAAATCACCCATCATGAAATGGGCAAATGCATTGAAAGGGTCTTCAAAAAAATTTTGCTGAAACAGAGCACAGCCTCTCACAACACCACCAGCTGGCATATTGATAAATATGGGTTCTTAGAACACTCACCTTCAGGGGGAATCCTGTACTTCAAGGGGTCTGCTCTCCAGAAGACAATTTCATTTTTTTGAATTCCTCCCTTGTATACTTACTAGGAATTGTGGAGGGTCTGATATTTTACCCTGTTTGGTAGGCTAACAAAAAACCTGTGTTAGTTTCATAATTCATAGCAATAGTAGTAGACAGAGTTATTAGTGTTTGTGCTGGTATCTTGAGCTCCATTTCCTACAGGGTCACATAAAAATATGATGCCTGCACAGTAAATGGTTACATTATAGGAGAGGAACCCTGAGCTTAAGGAACCTGAATATTTTATAATGGGCAGTTAGCATATCTATTCCTTCACTCCCAAGAAGGACATTTTCTCTGTCTTCCAAACTAGACCACTATACAAACATCCTTGAAAAGGTAGTTTGAAACAATGGCAGTTAGTGTCTCTCCCAACAAAGAAAGCAGAAATGTGACAGACCCATGCAGAATGTCTCCCAAAAATACCCCTGCTGTTTTATATCTATTTAAATATTATCTATTCCTGAAAATAAAAATTTTAAGGGCTACTTCCTTTCAGTCTTCTTGGTGCCTGCATTTTAGAAAAATCTTATCTCTGAATTTTTCTTATGATTATAGCCTCTAACAAGATTTTATTATTATCTTGTAATATATACCTCCCTGCTTCTCACGATTTCATATGAGTCTTTTCAAGGAGAATGTAAGTCTTTGAGGAGAGAAACCACTTTTAGAGTTTATTTTGTGTCCATGATAGTATTCAATGTTATAGACGATATTAGAGAATATATATAAGAGTATGAGAAAAGGTCACAGTTGGAAAGGTTGTTCATGGTAACAAAATGATAAATAATTGCCCATAATTTACAATTTGTCTTTCTATAGTGACAAGAGAAACAGAATTCCTAATCAGGAGTCTGAAAGTTTTTACGATTCATAGCTGTAGCATGTTAGGATTCTACAGCCAAATCTTAGCTGACTTTACTGGACTTTAATCTTGGCGTGTAAGTGACTTGTGTTGATTTATATTTGATTAAACATAGAGGATAGAAAGGATGCTCATGTAACAAGTCCTGTTCTGTTTTTATCGACTGAGAAGCGTTTGGATAAATAGGACCATGCAGATAATTAGTTAACTCGGTATCTGCACCGTGCAAGTCTTTTCATTCTGTCTCCTGTTCTGTTCTACAGAACAGAGCATGAGAGCAGCAGGTGTATTCAAAATAATTCACCAGCCTAAGTTAATACTTTCCTTTTAGTCTGCATACCCTTATAAAAACAAAATATGGAAAATAGAAGGCTCCCCTACAGAACAATACTT